AAATGCTTCCTTTACTCCCTTGCAAAAATTATCGTCCATCAGCAAACTGCTATTTAATTTCCATAATTCCCATTGCATTTTCAATGTCCTGTTCCTGCCGCAACCTAACGTAACAGTGACAAGACAGTGGTCGCTAAAAAAAGCGGTTTTACTTGATAGCCCGATACGAGATTGCTCATCTCGGAGGAAACATAAACTCTATCCAATCGCGCGTGGGACGAGCGCTGAAAATGTGTAAAACGGAATTCTTTCCCTCGTTTTCGAGGTGGGCTACGTCCTCTAAATTATATTCGCCTATTAATTCGTTTAATATTGCAGCACTCCGATCGTAATGCTTCCAGAACTTTGCAGCCTTCCAGCCGTATCTTGTGGGGGATGTCGTCAACCGTCGTACCGCCTTTGAGGGTCAGCTGCACAAGCCTCGTGTTGGATTCGACATTCTCGAAGCCTCGTTCGCGGAAGCATTCCCGAGTAATGCTGGATACCTTGCCGAACCTTTCAAGCTCCTATTGCACCTTAAAGTTGGGAACATCATATGGAACCCAATGGAGCTTTATCTTGACTTCGTTCTTTGCTGGGTCAAACACTAGGCACCTCCCTTCCTTGACAGTTAGCTCTTTTGCTGCCACCAGCTTTTGTTTCGCAGCTAATGAGTGCAGTCTCAACATCCAGACATGATTCATCTGGTACGCACCTGTCGAAACCAAGTCTTTCAAAACGTCCAACTTTTCGAGTTCACCGCGAAAGTCTTGTATCCGGTAGGGCCGTTTTTTTACATCACAATGTAGAAACACTGCGTTCGTCGCTATGTATCCAGCAGGCAGGGGTGGCAGATGAACAGCATATTCCAGCTCAGCAGTAGATACCTTATCACCGGGTCCATATCACAAGAGCGAATGACATTTTAGCGAACGGCGACATTTGAGCGAATGGTCGTTTTAGCGAATAACGGGGGCGCGCGTTAACCCATCCGTCGCGCTGCGCTTTACGCCGCTTCGCGGCGACAGTCTGCGGCAACTCGTTACAAAAATATGAACTCACTTGGCCCACCCGAAAACGCCGCTTCGCGGCGTCCGACTATTCGCTAAAGTGTCATTCGATGAAACATGGGCGTTCGCTAAAACGTCATTCGATCAAGTGAGTTCCTCCCCTTATCACCACGGCTCGTCTGGACCGTTATCGCCGCTCCATCGGAGCTCGACATTCCGCGTCCGTCCGCTGCGGTCTCCGGAAGTGGAATCCTATGCTATGCCATCGCCTAGGAAACTCGATTTGACCATTCGTTTTATACGAGTTTAGCGGAGCGCGTGTAGCCATTTCCGTCCGAAGTGCACTCCGGAGTGCCATATAGCTTTACTCTTTATATAAAGCTCGAATTCCGAGTTGGCATTCTTAGATGGCCATGAAACGGTTCACAAGCCGAGGTGGCCATCTTGCATGGCTGTGAAACGGTTCACAAATCCTTAAATGAATGTAATTCATGACATCAAAAATCAGGAAAGTGTGTACCCGTCCTTTTTTTTTTCCCCCTTCTGAAATTTGCGTTTTTCGGGCAAAAAGGACATTCGTCTGCAAACGGGACCACATGCACCGTAAGCATCCCTATTGAAAATTCCGGCAAAAACTTCCAGTGACATTCGGTGGAAACGGGCTAATTTCCACTCACTTTCACCAGAAACCAGCGTAGTTGACCAGTTTTTTGGTGGAAACATTACCGGCCGCCACTTCCAGTGACCAGATTTCGCTGGACCTTTTGCCGGAGCCGCTGACGGTTAAAATCCGGCAAAAACTTCCAGTAACATTCGGCGGGAACGGGTTAATTTCCACTCATTTTCATCAGAAACCAGTGTAGCCACTTTCGCTGGAAGCTTACCAGAACCACTTTCGATTACCCGCCGCTGGAATCCTACCGGAAGCCACTCTCGTTTGCCGGACACCAAGCATCACTGGAAGCCGACGCAAGGGGAACCGCTTAAGTCAAGCAGGCCAAGACGAGCAAGGGGACAGAGTTTGTAATGGCGGCCGCCAATGCAGCGGCATTCTCGTGAGTGCGTGTTTTAGCTCGAAACGACGTTGCAATTCTGCAAGAAGTGCGTGCAGCGAACTGTTTTGACGACCCAAAACGGTGGGCAGCGATCACCGGCAACTTGATATTTGTTACAGGCAAAAGTCTGGGCCGGAGCAGGTACGAGACCACTCGAGTGGCATTCTCGTGAGTGCGAGTTTTAGCTCGGGACGACGTTGCAATCCTCAAAAAGTACGTGCAGTGAACTGATTTGACGATCCAAACAAGTGGGCACTTTCACCCGTTTTCATCCGAAACCAATTTACCATGTCTTTGGTAGATTATTTGCCGGCAAACAGATTTCGCTGGGATGTCCCCGGCAGCCACTTTCATATACCAGACGACCCGGATTTCCTAGAAACTTACCCTACACGGGAGGCTGCGTCGCCTCCGAAACGGAGAGAACGGCGAGAGAAGGACCGGCGCGGAGGCGGCCAGAAGGCAGCGGCGGCTGCCTCCTCTCCGTGCTACGTGCACGTGACGTCCGAGACTCCTTGCGTGCGCCGACCCGCCGATAAAAAAAAAAAAAAAAAAGTCTCCGGTGCGCACACGCAATTGGCCCTCTCCTCCCCTCCCCCTCCCCCCCCCCCTCTTTTAGAACACCTACACACACACACACACACACGCACGTCTGTCTCGACAGTCTCCGTCGGACGTGTTTGTTTTCAGCTTTGGGGGTAGCGGCCGTCGCGATTCCTTGTGGTGTTGTTAAGCCTCGGCTAAAGTTTGTTTCGGCGGACATCGGTGGTGTGGCGCCGGACCCAGAGCTGCGACTTGACGACGCTGACTTCGCCTCGCCCATAGAGGCTACGCCGAGCTATCATGGACGATCGCTCTCGACTCGTTTTGTTTGCCCGCTTGCACCAACCTGTCGATCCTGCCCGGGCTCTACAATGTCTTATGTTTTAGTAGAATTTCTACTCGACAAGACCCAGCCTGTTGTGAGTTCCGACGATGTAAGGGACTTTAGCGGTGTAGATGAAGACGACAAGGTGTACCATGTCTACTGGGCCGGAGACGCGCGAACAAAAGGATCGTTCTACGGCGCGAAAGTACTCTACATGGCAGGTGAGTATAATTGAAGTACGGCGAGTGATGTGCGAGTGCTTTGCATAACATGCTGAAGGCTTAACTGCATTTGCAGCCGAAGCATCTCGTATAAAACGGATGGTCAAATCGAGTTTCCTAAGCGGTGGCATAGCATAGGGGTTAAGAGTCGATTTGTACGCACGTGGTCGCGGGTTGCATCCGCGGTGGTCCTGCTTTTTTTTTTCTCGAACATTTTGTTTTATCGAGGCATTTGGCGATATTTATGAGTGCGTATAGCTTTACTCTTACAAAAATGCTGCCCTTGTCGAAGAAACTCCCTTGGCAGTGGCAGTCAGACGCCATCTGATGGACCATCAGATGACGTCTGATGGTCCATCACGTTCCACCAAGGCTGCTGACTGGCAGTCAGTGTTCCAAATTACGTATCTTGATGGAATTTTCAATAGGGATGCTTAGCTGCGAGCTGGCTCGCGCTTCTCTCACCCACCATCCTCCCTCTCTACCTCCCCGATGACCCCCGTCGAGCTTGGGAGGCACTCACTTGATCGAATGACGTTTTAGCGAACGCCCACGTTTCACCGAATTACACTTTAGCGAATAGTCGGACGCCGCGAAGCGGCTTTTTGGGGTATGCCAAATAGGTTTAAATTTTTGTAATGAGGCGCCGCAGACTATCGCCGTGAAGCGGCGTAAAGCGCAGCGCGGCGGATGGGTTAACGCGCGCCCCCGTTATTCGCTAAAACGTCGATTCGCTGAAATGTCGGTGTTGGCTAAAATGTCATTCGCTCATGTGATATGGACCCGTCGAGCTTCGGGAGGCGAAGTCGAGCCAGTAAACGTTTTGTTTTGATGAAAGACCAAAGCATGCCTTGTCTGTTTGTCTTAAATGTCCTTTTTTCTTATCGTAAAAAAACAACCCAAAAAAAACGTATAACTCACTTGCTCACAACGAATTTCTGAAGCATTCATGGCTTCTTTTGTTAAATTTCCTTTCAGCAGAAAAGAAAAAAAAAAGAAAAGAAAAACTCTGTTTACATTTTCTTCGGTATACATCGAGGAGGTAGGAGGGAAATATCCTTTCCATCTGCACAAGACACTTTAAGAGCAGCAGGTGATAGGATCAAAGGCGAGGGATATTTTAATTGCTTACAACGTAGATCAAGCCGTTAATTTCACTGCTGTCTGGACAGCTAACCTCGAGGTTTGAATGCGACACCCTTCAAACCTTTACCGAGTTCGACGACGTTTGGCTTATGAACAGTTTCCCTATTTCTAGAAATTAGTTCAACAGGCAGATCTTCTAGAAAATAATTAATAACGTAGTTTGTTTTAAGTCTTATAAACTGATTATCAATTTGTACACGGCTTAGTAGTGGATGCAATTGTTAATGGGGTTCTTAGTGTGTACTCGTGAAATAAAACAATATACTCAGTAAAACTTACACCCTTCCTCCATGAACCTCAGATTTGCGACAGGAAATACCACATAGAAGTCAGGGGCTGTGCATGACTTCATCGGTAGTAATCATTGATCGCAAATTAACTCCGTAGAACCTCTCTTTAGCGATTCGAGAAATTCGAGAGTGGTCCTTTTCTAACCTTGAGGGGAACATGTGATAAATCCTGTCCGGGATAAATGTATGATCGTGCCCTTAAACTAAGCAGGCGAAGCGTGAACAGGAATGTATGCACAATGCACTCACCTGTCTGTGTTGATTGAATCTGCCGAATACTTCGTCTGCGATCTCATCTCTCAAATAATTGTTGAGGATGGCGAACCCGTCGTAGTACTGGACAATCTTTGTCTGACTGAGATATTTCCTCAAGGCCCTAAAATAGTAAATGTCGGGATAATGTTTATATATTATTCTGTAGTAGTATTGTCCCCACATCCCGACGTAATGGGTGGACTCCGTAATGGCGAACACTTCCTCCGCCGCTCTTTCATGCCATGTAGTTGGGGAATCTGAAAGGAGGTTAATATTTTTTTAGATGTATGATTGGTATGGCGACCGTTTAAATGCAATTACATATCATACACTCAAGTTTTCGTTTAGCTTAGGCTTTAATGTGTGTGGAACTCAATTCAAGCAAATTTCAAAAATATATTTTATATAAAAATGCTTGCATTCCTGCGAATGTGGGGCTGCGTAATTATTTCTTTTTCAATAATTAGGAGAAACATAAAACTGTAGCTATAAAAATGTCCACATTTAACTCGAGGAAACGAGGAATTAAAATGAAGTAAGAGGTATTGTTGAAGAAACGTTCGTCAAATAAGAAATCTTGAAAACTTTCTTTGGCCAGTGTGCCGTTCAACTGTGGTTTTTATTTGTACTCTGCATTTATACTTCGCGACCTCCATAGGCACAGATCTAAACGCCGTTAGGCGCACATTTGTCGGATTTTTCTCAAGTCTTCTGCACCTGTGTTTCGTCTCTAATAAACGGGGCTGAATTGAACTGAAGTAGCTATAAAAGGTATTATTTTGTTAAATGACTGTGAAGCCACTGGCCAAAGGATAATTAAGTATTACTACTGTACCTTTTATAGAACCAAGATTTTTCTTAAGTATTATAGAGGTCAATCATAATACTTAGCTCATTTTTGTGGCATGTTAGCATATAAATTTCGCTGCTGCAATTTATTTCAAGTTAATTGTTTTCACTTCACTCACGCGGTCTACCAAACAACCTATAAATCCAAAATATTTATACATAAATATATATATTATTTTTCCTTCAGGTGGTGCGTATCGAGAAATTTCTTGCAAGGCTATACTCGTGATACCCTGAGACGTTCTTCTGATGGCCTCTTTTAGATTTTCGTAGATGTTTCAGAGGTTCATCATAGTTCTTTGTAAGCCATATGGAATCAGACACGACAGTTTCCGTGGGAGCAGGGAACCATTGCAGTTTATTGTACAGGGTCCGTGGGCCGGACAGCACCTTGTGCAAAATTGGATTCACCTTTAGTGAAAGCGCGGCCAACGCTGCAAACTTAATCGGGCCGATTCCGTGATGCCAATGCTGCAACGCACACCATCTTCCTTTGGTCGTGGTATCGTCGCTAAACCAGGTAAGCGGAGCGGATGTGCAGTCGCACTTTTAACTCGTGGTCAACAAGCGTCCCTGCGTCTCCCCTTCCACTTATGAAGAAGAAGAAATATTTAGGAGAGCGCGTGACCCTTCGGAATCAACAGTTAGGGGAAGCCGCCAGGTTACCTTGTCGCTCAGTGTCGGCCCCACGTTTCACGCGATCCATCAATACATTGATCTCACCAAGCGTTCCACGCATGCGTGACGCCGCCATAACTCTAGATCGTAGGAGGCACATGCCATTTGACGAGAAATCTCATGCTGCCTCGCGCTCTGCTCGCGCAGAATTCCAGCGGGGTTGTCGTGCGTGCAGAAAGACTACAGCTCCCACGATGCTTGGCGGCAGCGGTAACGTTCTCAAACTACCTGGTGAGAGCGGTCTATCTCCTACAATTCCCGGCGCCTACACACCGCTTTACTTTAAGTTCGACTGCTGCTGACGATACAGTTGAAAGTAGCCAATCAAGCAGAGTCAAAATTAAAATTAACTGTTGGGCTAGTTGGTTAAATATCTTAATTACAAAAGTGCAAAGGACAAGGACAGGACAAAGAATGAACAGGACAAGCGCTTACTAACAACTGATTGTTTAATGCATGATAAGAGAAGAACGAAAATGAGAGGAGATTTAATAAATTAAAATTCCAATTGTTTTCCCACGTAAAATGATTAAAAATTATCTGAGAAAAATTAGGACTGATGGAAAAATAAAATTAAAGAAAAGCATCCAGATTAAGAAAAAAGGTTGAGGTACCCTATCTCTTTCTCAGACAGTGAAATTGATGGTGTGCTAATGCACGTGTCTCCTTTTTCGTTTATAGTTTTTGCCTCAAAAATTTCCCTAGCTCTCTTGCTGCGAAAGCGTTTGAGTATTTGCGTTTGATTGAATTGAGGAGTGCATTTATGGTCTCTGGCATGTATGGCCAAGTGTCCAGACGGTGACGCATTTAGGGAAAGCTCATGCTCTCGTAGTCGCACATTTACGCAGCGCCCAGATTGACCGACGTACACTCTCCCACATGTGCACGGAATTTCGTAAACGATGTTGACGTTGCAGTTGATATATTTATGTTGTGCGTGCTGGACTGAGCAGTGTTCTTGTCTTTCGTTCTGGGAGTTGATTTTTGGACACAGTTTTTAAGTTTGTCAGGAGCTGATGTTACAACCTGTATGTCATATTTTGACATACATATTTTCGTTCTTCTCCTATCATGCATTAAACAATCAGTTGTTAGTAAGCGCTTGTCCTGTTCATTTTTTCTCCTGTCCTTGTCCTTTGCGCTTTTGTAATTAAGAGTCAAAATGATTGGTTTAGCCGAATCGTAGCATTGGCTCGTAATTGTAGCGTGGTACAGTGGATGCACAACGATGTATTTCAAAATAAAATTGAAATGCCGATCGAAAATGTTGCATCCCGATACATAAATATATATATACACAACGTTTTCTTTTCTGTATTTTGTTAATGCCATCGGGAAACATTTTTAGTGGTGGAAGTGAAAAGTGGTGGTTTGGAGCAGCTCTTGTAGCAGGGAACAACGGGTTTTGGAGCAGAGCTTGTGGGAACCACGTGTTCCTTGCATCCCTATCTATGCCTAGCTCAGGCAGGCCGTGGGACGTCGCCTTGGGGGGGCGCCTCCCGGATGCGAGGCCGAAGCCGTATTCCCTGGTGGACGGCTTTTACTCACGCTTCTCGGATGATCTGCCGAAGGCACACCCCTCGGGATCATGATTTGGACGCGTCCGCCCCTCCGGGGAGCCACCTACATCCCACCCACTCCGGGCGCGTCCATTCCCGCAGGCTATATAAGACGGCCCTAAACCCTAATACAAAGAGCAGGACTCTCGCTGGGGGAGGCTCTGCTCCACGGAGCCTTCATATCCTTATCTGATCCTCCCCCTCCATGATACTGTCAATAGTGGCAGCGCGAACTCCGACTGGCAATCCTGTCAAAAAAGACAGCGCCTTCATCACCAACATTGTTGGCCCTCGGGCAAGCGTGTGGCATCTGAGTCAAATAAACACGTCTTTATCCGGACCCAAGGAACCTTCTGTTTTTCTAAATGGTACCCCCATAGGGGAAACCCACAAGCTTCACACTTTTGGAGCAGGCGATTTTGAGCTTTCATGTAAAAAAGATTTATAAGATCTTTTTGAAAGTTAGCCTGTGGAAAAAACTGCAGTTGTTTGAGTGTTGGGAGGCTATTTAAAGTCTCATATCTACAAGGGATCTGGCCACTAGAGATATCTATTTTTTATTGTACAATCATATGCCGGTAATTTGTCAGATGTCTAAATTAACCTAACGACCTATTGCTAAATTATCCAAGCATCAGGGAGAATGGAGGGATTAGTGTTCCACGCGCCACACGCGCCACACGCGCACGCCTTCCCCGTATAAACGATTATAAGTAAATAATCGAAATAAAACGTTGACGAACACGCGCGCAAAATGCAATTTGTTTAGGCATTCGCTTTAGAAAAGTTACTACTGCTGAGGCCAGCACGTGGGGCGCGTGGAACACCAATACCTGCATTTTTTGATACAAGAGTAATTTACAAATAGATCTAGTAAGAGTACCGATGGCGTGTTCGGTCTGTGTTTGACGTAAAAAAGATGATGTGGGTTACTTTGTAGGGTTTCTATCAAGGTGACGTGGTGGTTGCTGTTTGACATCAAACGGACACGTTTGTGTTGAATGTGTCTCACGCTGCCCTCGCTCTTATTCAACCTGCTACCATTCCCAGAGCAGCTAAGCAGAGCACAAAACTACTCTAACCGATCACGAGTAGCGCTACCTATTCATTGCAATCGACGTGAGCACCGTTCACACCAACACCAATAACCCTTCGTTAGGCATGTGCAAATAGTGGATTTTGGGTTCGAAGCACATTCGAAGGGAATAGTGGTTTTGGGCGTATATATTGAAATTGAATATTGAATAGTTGCAGCAGCTTTCTCGACGCCTTTCCCTATTGTTACACCATGCTCAAACGAAAATTCAGCTGAACCCGCGAAGGTTGTTCTTAAGCTTCTAACTGCTACTTATGAGCTCTGTCAAATTTAATCTAACTATATGTATAGACCGTAACCTCAGCCAGTTCAATGGCTACATTAATATGGCAAGTAAATGATACATATGACATAAAATTAAACCTATAAGGGAGCCCCGCCATACCTAATTGAGGGCATTTATAGATCTTCTTGTTATATGAAAATATTTTCTTCAATCTTGAATTTAAACAAAACAAGCACAAGTAATGAACACGGAGTGTTAAAACATTGCTGCGTAACATACACCCTTGTATAAAAACCACAGTTTAATTCTGTAGGGTTTACTGCAATATATATATATCACTAAACACTTTTTTTATTACCAAAGACGTGTGCGTGCGTTAGACTTTTTTGAAGTTGTGTTTTTCGCCTAAACGCTCGGGTACGCAACGACGAGGCGAGTCGCGATATCGCGGTGTCAGCTCTGCGGGCATTGCTTCACCGCAGTGACTTGTACTTGAGGAGAAGCACACTGAAGAAGGCTAACCCGCACGATCAACATTTAGAAAAGTATGAATATCGCAGTTCTTTTTGAAGCGATTATCAAATAGCTGATGATATAAAACTACTGTTTGATAATACAAATATTCGCGCAGACCTACTCTTCGCAAATGGTGCTTAGGCATTCGTAAAAAAGAAAAAAAAAGTTTTTTTTAGTTTTCAGTGGCATCGCCAGGACCATCAACTAATGTAAAGCAAATGCGAGATTACGCCAAAGCTAACTTTGATAAAATTAATCTTGACCTTGCAACTTTCCTCAATGAATATTTATCACTCTTCTCAAGTCGCTCACTAGAAGAAAACTGGGGCTTTT